GAGGACGGTCCCGCCACGCGTCCTCGTCAGCGCGGGGCCCGCGGCCTGGGGATCCCGGCCGTGCTGAGCCAAACCCACCTCCTCCAGGAGATGCCGGGGTCCCCACGGAGCCACCAAGATGCAACTTTGTGCTGCATCGAAGCCTCTCTGCCTTCATTATGTAACGCCGCTGCTGCCTGGCACCGTGCTCGCCTCCACGTCCTGCACAACTTCAGTGCGATGTGCAGTTGATTTCCACTCCTCTGGACTGGTTCATTATCTGCTGATGAGCCTTTTCTTGGGTCTTAGGCTAGGGGTGCTTTATGTGACCCCCCGTCTCGGTGCAGGGCCACGGTGCTAGAAGGGCGATGACACTGACTGGCCCAGCAGCAGGTCCTGGCCATGCAGCATCTGCTGGGAGAGATGCTGGCGTTTGGGGTCTTGCTGCGCCCCTGCGGAAGGTGGGGTTAGGCAGGTTTGCATTGGGGCTGCCTGCACCAGTGCAGGCAGCAGCTGCAGGGCTGTGTCCCTGCGGGAGGCTCTGCCCAAAGCATCCTTGCACAGCCCAGGGCTCAGCAGCCCCAAGCTCCGGGCTGGGGGGCCAGGCACACATGAGTGTGGGGGCTTCGATCACTTACTGCTCTGTTTCCCCTTGATTTTCCCCCTTTGAGGTGCTGACAGCAGCCCCAGGGCAGCAGTGGAGCCATGTTTGTGCTGTGCCACCCTCACATGGGTGTGAGCAACTCTGGCTCAGGGACCCTGAGGCTGTCAGACCCCCCCAATCTCTGCTCCCCTGTACATTCATTTTGTCAGTCGGTTTTGGAGCGAGCCTGACTGCTGAGCTGAGGATCCCTGCTCGCCTGGCAGGGCGAGAGCCACCCTGAATACAGATCACGCCAGGGCTCTGCCTGCCTTCCCAGCCATGCTTCGGCACCGTGGAGGAGCGTGGGGGGATTTTGGTGGCCTCAGGGCACTCCTGAGACCTGGGCTGCAAAATTCAGAGTGCCTGGAGGGATGCCAGCCAGCAGGGATGGAGAAAAGTTATCTTAAAATCCCCAGGAGGCTGTGGTGTGCCACGTGGACTGCAGATTCCAGGACGGGGCACATAGGCTACAAGGAAGTCAGGTGGAAGGAGGGTGGCTGTGCCATGGCCCTCCCCTAGGTGTAAAGGTGCCCAAAAGCCTCGTCCTGCATGAGGCCCACAGCTGCAGGGCCAGGTCCCAGCCAAAGCTCCCCCAGCTGAAGCTCATCCCCATAGCAATCAGCAGCGAGATGCACACTCATTAGCAGGCTGCAGGACCTTGGCGAGGAAGGCCAGGCTGGGTTTGGATGGCTTCTCTGGCTGATAAACCCATCCTACTCCTGCAAGTCAGGGCTTTTATGGATGAGCTCCCACAGCATCTTCCTCCCTCCTCCCTACCTGCCTCATCCTTGTGTCACTCCTCACAGATGGAGGCTGGAGAGCTGTTTGCTCTGCATCCCTCTACCCGCCTGCATCCCCCTGCCCAGCACCGGCAGAGAGGACCCAGGTGAGAGACCCCGCTTTGGGAGCTGCAGAGCAGGCTGTGACCCCAGCCTGAGCATCTACTCAGTGTGGAGAGCTGACCCACGGTTGCTCCTGTTCAGCTGCTTTAAATGCTGCTCGTCAGTAATTACCAGGCTCTCCTCGGTGCTGGCAGCGTGTCGTAGGCTGGGGTGGCTCCTGGGGTGTATTTCCCCTCCAGTTCTCGCCCTTTGCTGTGTCTGCCCTTGCTGCTGCTTGGAGGTGCCCAGGGATGGAGTTTGGGACGAGCAAACATCACTGTGGTTATGAGGAGCTGGAGCATCCTCTCCCAGCTGCTTTTCCAAGAGCTGAGATGATGCTGGGAGCTGCTCAGCTCCTGTGACCTGCGAGTTGGTAACCTCTGGTGGGTGAAATCAAATGAGCCACCCCTGACCTGCCACCATCACTGCTGTGCCCTGGGTCCCCAAGGCTCACAGGGCAAAGCTGTGGGGCTGGGGCTGGCAGCTCTTCTCTAGAGGCAGAGTCACGTCAGAGTGTTTTGATCTGTTTAGATCGAGGGGATAAACTGATGCAATGCAAGATAGGGCTGTTAAGTGCCTATTGCCAGCTTTGCCCACTGCCTTATCAGCCACATTTCAGGCATGATAAAGCAGCAATGGAGGAGAGAGGTGGAGCGGGGAGCAGGAGGGAAGCAGTGGGAGCAAGGGGCCTGGCTTTCTCCCCCTTTCCTTCCATTTGGGTATTTGTGGAAGATGCTGTTGGGAGGGGTGGGGATTTTTCTCAGCATGGGATGATGTTGGGCTCCTGGGCTCCTCATCCATCAATCCCCCACGAGGAGCCGGTGCAGCCCCTGCAGGGAAACTGCCCCTCGTAATGCCTTTGGGTTTCTTTCCCCACAGCCCCCTCCAGCGCCGCCTTTCAGGATGATGGCCCCAGGAGCATTGGCGGGGACCCTCCGAGCACATCGCTGCTGACCCACAGCACTGGGACCACAAGGCCACCCCCCTCCCTGGGCACTGCCTATGCAGAGCCCCTGGGTGCGCAGGGGAGAGCCGCAGCCCCGCTTCCCCATGGCAGCCCCTTCACCCCACGCCCCGGCCCAGCTGCATGGTGTGGGTGCCCCCGAGGACCACCAGGCATGG